ACACGCATAGTACCATTTATGGGAGCACACAATGTCATCCCGGCACATCAATTTGGCTTCCGTCAAAGCCATGGAACAATCGAACAAGTTAACAGAATATCATCAGAATCTCGCACAGGCTCATATATAAAATCAAAAAAAACTTGCCTACATACACTCATAAGCTACTCTCTACAAAAAGATCTTTGCAGTAAGGTGCAACACAACAACATCCGACGACTAAATTATCGAAGCTGGAGTCCCGCAAGAAAGCACACTTGGGCTTACTCTGTTCGTCCTATAAACAGCGGATATTCCTACGAACGAGCAGCTAAAAACATATACGCTCGCTGACGACACTGCAATCCTAAGTCGCTTTATGTGCCCGAATCGAGCTACAACACAACTAGCCAATCACCTCATCGTAGTAGGGAGGTGGCTATCTGACTGGCGTATTAAAATAAATAAACAAAAAATCAAACACATTACGTTTACTCTCAACAGGCAAACATGCCCTCCACTATCATTGAATAGTACGCAGAATCCCCAATTCAACGAAGTAACGTATTTCGGCGTTCACCTAGACAGACGACTACCTTAAAACTAAAAGCCAACAGCTTCCACTGGATCTTAATCGCGCGATCGCCCCTGCGTCTGGAATACGAGGCCCTACTGTACAATTCCACTCTCAAGCCCATCGGGACATTTGGCTCCCAGCTATCGAGGAACGCGAGCAGCTGCTATATAGACATCATACAGCGCGCACAATCAAGAATCCTGAGAACTATCACTGGGGTATTTTCGCAACCAAAACATCGGCATTCTTGCAGTAAAAGTTGAAATAGACAAACAAAAACGAACCTACAATGAAAAAATCTCTGTCCAGCCAAATCCGGGTTTCCAGCAGAAACCGCCACAACGCAACGACCTCCCAACCCAGCAATAATTTTCATGGCCCCATAACTTAAAAAAAATATATGCCTCGTAGTAAATTATAATAGTTACTATATTATCATAATTGATTTGAACATTTCAAACTTCAATTTTATAAGAATAAATATTTATTTCAAATTTAGTCCATATTCACAATAAACAAAACCCATAATTATTTTGTTCATTTTTCTGTAGTATCATAGTATCATTTAAAATAAATATGACACATTGTTAATTTTTTTTTTTTTTTGAAAATAAATTGAAAATATAAAAATAAAAGAAAAGTATATATTATTAATATATTAAATTCATTTTAACTTCACATAGTTTTCTTCAGAACTCGATTGTTTTTTCCTTTATTTTGCATTGTCAGCTTTTTCTTAGATCTTCAGAAAAATTATATTAAGCAAATCTATAAATTGTCAATAAAAATCAATAAATACTTGATTAAAATCACTTACCTAAAATAACTCCGTCGTTGTGCCGATTCTAGGAATGGCATCATGGATGTCCTCCGCTGATAAAGCTGGAGCGACTCAAAAGCAACTCCGTTTTCTTTAAAATTATAATAAATTATTGAAAAGAATATTTTTGCTACATCGGTCATCATTGGGGTTATACCTTGGTACAATAAAAACGAAATAAAAAGAAAAGGATAAACACAAAAGAAGTGAAAGTTCCTAGAAAAACAAGAAACTTTGGGTTATACCTTGGTACAATTAAAACGAAATAAAAAGAAAAGGATATACACAAAAGAAGTGAAAGTTGCTAGAAAAACAAGAAACAAAAATAAAAATGAAAAATATAAGCAAAAACTCTAATCCGCTTTCAGAAAAAAACCTTTTTTTTATGTTAAATGACGTCCGCGTTGCTCATCCATAAAACTTAAAGTGATATTCTTCGCGACAACGCTGCGTGCAATATTATTCACATGTGAATCTGTGTGCAAAGAATGTCGAATCTTGTCGCATGCCGTTTTGTTACAGTAGAGGTTAAAAGAATAGCAAATAAAGTTTGGATTATATTCAAAGGATTAATGCCAGCATTAATACATATTCCTATATCTTAATATTGTACATGCCTAAGCATTATACAAAATATAGAAATCTGTTATAATTACGAATTAATTTTAGTCTAGAAAACCACTGTTTTTTGTTGGCTTGTAAATATGTTTTCCCATTCTAGAAAACTTCAAACGCAACCTTGTGTGTAGAAAAAATGCGAAAAGAATTCAGAACGAAAAGCACACACGCAATCTTCATTGCTTGACTTGGCATTTACAATACAAACATAAATTTATCCGTATGTATGTAGGGTATTACAAATTACTTATTATTTATTTATTTCGGGTAAAGTTTACAAGAGTTTATTTAATTAAAACTTAACAAATTAAGTTTCACGAATTTCGCACTCTATGGAGACCATGATAATTTTAATGTCTTCAAGAACATTTAATTTTTGAAATCGCTGCAAGGGTATACAAACTTCTTTTCTTGTTTTTGCATATTTCCTTATTTCCAAAAATTGAGAAAATTTTGTTTGCATAATCAATGGGTGCGGTGGCACTGAGGATACACGCTGGGGGTACCGATTGAGTGGCATATGTTACATAGTTATCAAAAAAAATATTTGAGAAAAAAGATTGCTGAATTGGTGCAGCCTATGAAGTTTTGTATGCCATATGTTTTCTCCGAGAGCGGCGTTCACAGAGAGAGAAGAAATGTTATGTGCAAGTTTACCAACCCGTGAAACCGGGCCCCTTATGGAATTAATAAACAATTTTCAAAATTCAATTTAAGCGATCTTTGCCTATGCCTTCGCACTTGCCTTTGCACTTGCCTTTGCACTTGCCTTTGTCTTTGCCCATGCCCTTGGCTTTGGAGTCCGCTCTTGGTTTCCCTGCTAAGATAAACAAACCAAACTTAAAGTAAACATAAGCTTCCGCTCGAAGCCCAATCAATTGCATTCCAAGTTCAAGCTATTGCAAGCCCAAACAAATTGCATCGGTCTGCATATTTGAATTTCACAATAGGATGCCATGATTTCACCCTAAGCTTATATTCTAAATAAAAGGAAAAGTTCTTAAAGCTCAAAAAAAGCTTCTGGCCGATGTTCGTTGGATAAGATTTTAGAATTAAGTTGGCAGTCCATTTTGGATCAAGAAACAGATCGGAAGTTAAAAATTCGAATGTGAAAAATAAAGTGTATTGTATTAGTTAATCATTTTCATTTAATCAAATATTATTTACTTTCTGTGAAATTATCGCTGGGACTTGCTCTTGGGTTTTTCGTGCTCAAATTTTCTCCGTGTAGTATTTTGTTTCGTATGTTTTTGAACTTGTTGGTCCGTACCATTTCCTGTCCGTCTTCTTTCACATCTGGTTTTGAGCAAGCCCGTGGGGTCCGCGCGTAACAAGCATTGCTTGGTATCGTAAGGGTCACTTGCTTGTACTGACCATAGTGCATCAACTTCCAAATATAACAACTAAAAGTATTTATGGCCGCGGCTTCATGCAAGCCGAACTACTGTGCACTGACAACGTTTAGTTACTATCCCGTCAACAATGTCATGCTCAGTTGCCGTTTTCGCCTTGTCCGCTTGGAACAACAATCGCACGCTGCATTCAAGCAATGGAGTCTAGCAGCCAAAACCCAGAAATTTTTGGTGTCTCCAATGAGGTATTTCTTAGATATAGATATATATGGTGGCTCTGAGCTCAAATGCTTGGGTTTATGTATTGGATTAGATATTCTAAATGGCACAAAAATTTAAAGATTTGTTAGTTTTATTGTAAAAATCTCATATCACATTTTAAAGTTTTTAATATAAACTGTGACGGCCCACCGTCACAACAACTCTTAAAACTAAGTACAACTCATACCTAAACATTGACATTATTCAAACGCGCGCTCAAAGTAAGCGGTACGCAATCGGCCCTTCCGCAGCGCCAGCACCAAGCAGTGCTACACTCGGCCCTTCCGCAGCGCCGGCACCACGCAGTGACACACTCGGCCCTTCCGCAGCGCCAGCACCACACATTAAGCAGTACAAGATTCGGTCCTTCCGCAGTGCCAATCCAGTGCACAAAGCAGTGTAAGCAGTGAGAAACTCGGCCCTCCAGCAGCGACGACACCACTCCGCAGGGTCGGTATCACTCAGCTAGCAGTCCTGCACTCGGCCCTTCAGCAGCGCCGACGTCAACCCAGTAGGCTGTACCACACTCCGCCCTCCCATTGCTCCGAGACGATTATAATTAGAAACATAGCCAAACCAACCGTATAATCAAATACGGTAGCGATATATTGGTGCTATTCGTTGGGGAAAGGAAATATTCTTTGATCTAAAGAGGAAATAAATTTCTGTCTCGAACCCTGGCCACGGCGAGCTATACCGCCTCCCGAAACATGGTCGTTTAGTGCTACAAAGTTAAGCCTCAAATACCTCAATAACAAAATTGATTGGTAAGGTACTTAAAGTACTAAGTGTCTTCCATAAATAATAGATTTTTTTATACCCTTGCAAAGGGTATTATAATTTCAGTCAGAAGTTTGCAACGCGGAGGAGACGTTTTCGACCCTATAAAGTATATATATTCTTGATCAGCATCACTAGGAGAGTCGATCTGGCCATGTCCGTCCGTCCGTCCGTCTGACCGTCCGTTTCTACGCAAACTAGTCCCTCAGTTTTAAAGCTATCTGCATGAAACTATAGCATATAGCTTCCATAGGAACAGTCGGAAAAATTAATAACATTATAACTTTGATGTTTTTTTAATTTTTTGCTTAGTTCTTCGCCATTTAGTAATGGTTAAATATTTAAGAATTACGGTTTAAATTTCATTAAAATCGGACGACTATAGCACATAGCTCCCATAGGAACAATCGGAAAAATAAATGAAAAAAATTATAGCTTTGCTGTTTTTTAATTTTTTTTTAAGTTCTTCGCCATTTAGTAATGGTTAAGTATTTCAAAATTACGCTTTAAATTTCATCAAAATCGAACGACTTTAACATAAAACTCTCGGAACAAATAATAAAAAAAAAAAAAAAATTATTAAATATAACTTTTTTATTTTTAATATTTTTAGAAATTTTTGTTGACCAATTAATAATTTGACAGTTCAGAATTACGCTTTTAATTTTAATAAAATCGGAAAGCGATATCATATAGCAGCCATAAGAACTATGAAATAATTGAGCTGCATCATCATAACTTCAGTGTTTTTAAACATATACGCAAGCCAATCATAATTTTAATGTTTTCAAGAATATTTTATTTTTTGCAATTGCTGCCATGTCCGTGTGTCCGACGTCCGACTGTCTGTCTGTACGTCCGTCTGTCCGTCATATAGTTCCCATAGAAACATCCGAAATAACAACACTTTTTATATTTCATATTAAACTGTTCCATACTTTGAAAATTTATACTTTATATAAATTTATAATTTTTAGTTTTATGTCTAAAGCTGTAATCTAAACCACATAAGTGTTATATTGTAGTAATAACTAAGTAAGAAACTACTCTTTATAACCATGGCCAAAGTAGTTTTAAGTCATATAGTTAAATTATATTTTAAAGTGTGTGTAACCCTGGATATATTTTCTGTGTGCTATCCCTGGTTTGTAAAAGTATCGATGTGTTTTGCATACCTAAAAAAAGATGCACGAAGAAGAGAGCGAGGCATTCGAAAAAGCGTGGCCGGTGCGATCGACCGAAAAGCTGAATAAAAGATAATTAAATTAAAGCAGAACAAAGAACACTATAATCTAAGTGGTAACTGAACCTAACCAACTTATATTGGAATAGGAAAATATCTGTTAACATGGCTTCACGCATTAATCTCGGCGAGCTCAAATTAATGGAAATCAAAAGTTTCTGTGAAAAACTTGTCTTGTCCACAAAGGGAAACAAGTTAAAGTTAAGTGCTGTACTACCGTCTGAAATTGCTCCGGAGTTGTACTACGAAAAGGTGGAGTCTACGAAAGGTGGAGGCAATGAGGCCAATGAAGCCAACAACAACAACGAAGAACAAGTCGGAGAAATGGCTTTCGCCAATGCAGCCAACAACAACAACGAAGAACAAAGCGAAGAAGAAGATGAAGATGTTTTCGGCAACGAACTTAAATTTGTCGAGACAGTTGATCGTGGTGGCGTTCAACCTCCAGGAAACGGCGTTCACTTCCAGGAACCGGCGTTCAACCGAGTACTTCAACCTTCGGCATTCAACCGAGTACTTCAACCTTCGGTGTTCAACCAAGTACTTCAGCCTTTGGCGTTCAACGTAGTCCAGCTACCAACATACTGGCCGAATCGGGTGGCAACGCTGCGGGAATGGAACAGGCGATGCAAAATTTACGTTTCGAAAATGTGGACCGTCTTTGCAAGCCAGAAATGAACTTGAACACCGTGAAAGAGCTACTCCCAGAATTCAACGGCGATGGCAACATAAACGAATGGTTGCTGGTGGTAAAAAATGTTCGTGATGTGTTCAAAGTCAGTGATGACGTTATGCGTCCATTAATTTGCTCACGCTTAAAGGGCAAGGCTAATTTTTGGCTGCTATCTCGCCCATCGACTTGATTCTGGCACAACTAAAAATTATTTTTGGAACCAAGGATAACGTCCTGGAAATGCGACGCAAGTTTGAAAACCGCCAGTGGCAATTCGGTGAGAAGTTTGCCAACTACTACTTTGACAAACTTACTCTGGCAGAAGACATCGCTATGAGTGTTCACGAACTAGTGCAGTACTTGATAGATGGCATACAAAATGCACAACTTAAAAACCAAGCGAAACTACTACGTTTTGGAGTGCCTGCTGATGTATAAGAAGCCTTTCAAGATGAAGAGAAACCCAGAGCTCCGATACATCAAAATAGGATGCAAGGAAAATCTTCAACAAACGCTGCGACCCCGGAACAGAGGGTCATCAAATGCTTTAACTGTCACAGTCTTGGCCATCTGGCTAAGGTATGCCGCAAGCCAGTACGGGCTGATGGAGCTTGCTATGGCTGTGGAGAAGTTGGACACTTGGCTAGAGAGTGTTTATTGTACAAGAAGAAAGAAACTGGCAACGAATATGTAAGACATTTTAGAGTTCAATTTAAAAATACGATACATTTTCGTAATAAATTTTATTCCATAGAGTGCCTTATAGATTCTGGAAGCCCCGTCTCATTTTTATAGAAGTCAGTAGTTCCCAGTAACGTAATCATTGATAATACCTTCTTCGGAATAAACGAAAGTAAACTAAATGTAATTGGAAAAACAGTTTGTCTAATTAATAGTTCAAATAAAAACGTATTGATTGAATTACAGGTTGTAACTGATGAATCTGTAAGGTACTCAATGGTAGTAGGACGCGATTTTTTAAATCTAAGTAATTTTAAGCTCGTTCAAATAGTTAACGATGCTAACCAATTATCTGTTAAGCCAGGGGGTATACATTTAATGGAAAAGTGAAAAGTGACAAAGTCGATTTCAATGTAGAGAAACCGGTAGATGTAGAGACAAAAGTAAAGAGCAATTTTGGAAACAATTACAAAGTAGATTTAATTGTAGAGAAACAGGTAGATGTAGAGAAAAGAGTAGAAAAATCGAACAAACCCGAGGTAACGAAATGTTTAGAAATTATAACGAATATTAATGTTGAGGCCGATGAAGCTAAAGATGACGAAGCTGACACCAGACTAGACAATATCGTTGCGAATGAAGAAAGTTACAATGTGGATTCATTCGATAAAGACATGCTTAATATAAATGTTATTTGCGATGGCAAAGCAACTTATACGATAGGAAAGGAGGTGAGTCAAGAAACTAGAAATAAGTTTAAATGTTTGTTTAAAACTTTTTATGAAGACGCTGATCGTCCGATGGAACCTAAAATAAAGTGTACTATGAAGATCAGAATTGAAAGTAATAAAACATTTCGGTGTCACCCTCGAAGATTGTCTTACGCAGAAAAGTCCGAAGTTCAAAAAATATTAGGCGAGAATTTAGACAGTGGGTATATACGGCCAAGTGAATCTGAATATGTGTCGCTAATTGTTCTCGTAAAGAAAAGACAGGAGAACTTAAAACGTGTGTCGATTATCGTCGCCTTAATAAAGTTACTCTTAAAGATAATTACCCGATTACGTTAATTGACGACTTGTTGGAGAGGTTAGCGAATAAAAAATTCTTTTCGAAACTTGATTTGAAAAACGGATTTCATCATGTGTTCATGGATCATAATTCTGTTAAGTATACGTCTTTTACCACCCCACTAGGCCAGTTTGAATTTCTAAGAATGCCGTTTGGCTTGACGAATGCACCACCAACATTCCAAAGATTTATTATCAAGATATTTGCCGATATGGTACGATCGGGAAAAGTTGTGTACTATCTTGATGAAATTATGATAGCTACGGAGAGTTTGTTTGAGCATTTCGAAATTTTAAAAGAAGTTTTGAAACGTATAGTTGAAAACAAATTAAAACTTAGACTTGATTAATGTGAATTCTTGCAATCATCCATTGATTACTTGGGATATGCAGTCAATGGAGATGGGATAAAAGCGAACGAAACGGGTTAAGATGTTAGGTCTTTTCCAGTGCCCTCAAAAGTCAGCGAGGTCTCAAGCTTTATAGGATTTTGCTCTTATTTCAGAAGATTTATTAAAGATTTTTCTATTATTGCAAAGCCACTTTACGATTTAACCAGAAAAGACAAGAAGTATGCTTTTAATAAAGAAGAACTAGATGCGTTCACTATACTTAAGGAAAAGTTAATTGAAGCTCCAAATTTAGCAGTATATGATCCAAGAGATGAGACAGAGTTGCACTGTGATGCAAGCTCATTAGCTTATGGCGCAATATTAGTACAAAGGAAAAGGGATAACAAATTTCACCCTGTCTTTTATTTGTCGAAACGTACAACCGATGTGGAGTCAAGGTACCACAGCTTCGAATTGGAAACTTTAGCAATAATAAACGCATTAAAAAGATTTCGAGTTTATGTGCAAGGAATTAGATTCAAAATTGTGTCTGATTGCATTCGTTAAACTTTATCTTTAAATAAAAAAGAAATAAATCCTCGTATATCAAGATGGGCTTTAGAGCTTCAAAACTATGACTACGAGCTTGAACACAGATCGGGAAAAAGAATGCACCATGTGGACGCACTGAGTCGAAGTAATAGTATTCTTGTAATTGAAACAAATACTTTCGAAGAAAATCTAATTATATGTCAAGGAAGAGATGAAAATATAAATAGAGTTAAAGAAATTTTACTAAATCAAGAGTATGAGCACTATGAACTACGAAATGGTGTCGTGTATAAGAAAAGTAACGATAGGCTACTGTTTTGTGTTCCACAGTCAATGGAAGAAAATGTTCTGTACAAATACCATGACGAAATTAGGCATGTAGGAATTGACAAAGTAACGGACCTCATAAGTAAGAGTTATTGGTTTCCAGGTATAAGAAAGAAAGTTGCGATTCACATAAAGAACTGCCTAAAAGGTATAGCATTTTCTAATAAAACAGGTAAAACTGAGGGTTTTTTACATCCTATTCCGAAAGGTACAAGTCCGTTTGAAGTTATCTATTGATCACTATGGTCCGATAAATAGCAAAGAAACAAATAAAATATACATACTAGTAATAATTGACGCATGTACAAAATTCAGCAGATTATATCCAACCAAAACAACTAGTTCCAAGGAAGCAAAAGAAGCGTTACAAAACTATTTCAGATCGTACAGTAGACCTAAAAACATAATATCTGATCGAGGCAGCTGTTTTACGTCAAAGGAATTTGAGGAGTTTGTTGAACAAAACAATGTAAGGCATGTTAAAATAGCAACAGCTTCGCCATAAGCTAATGGGCAAGAAGAAAGAGTCAATAGAGATTTAGGTCCAATGATAGCAAAGTTAACAGGCGTAGAGAATAATCAATCGAAATGCGACTATAAAACTATGTTGATTCAAAACGACAAAAACCGCAACAATTTTCTGAAGGAGATTATGTTGTTGTTCGAAATTTTTACTCGCAGCAAGGCGTGTCCAGTAAGTTAATTCCCAAATTCAAAGGGCCTTATGTTGTCTCCAAGGTGTTAGATAATGATAGGTACTTTATTGAAGACGTAGAGAACTTTCAGCAGTCACAAGTGCCATATTCGGTTATAAGGGCGGTGCATAATATGAAACCCTGGCTTAATGGAAAAGACAAAGTTGATGTTAAGGATAGTCCAGATATAAAAGATAAGGAAATAGATCCTGCTAATGAAATTAGTAATACAAATAAAATTATTGTAAATAAAAACAAATATTATAGTAAAAACATAGAAGTAAACGACAATTATAAAATAAATAAATATGGCCAAAGTAGCATTGTTACTAGAAGTAAGTCAACCAGTATCGGGAGATCCTCATAGTCAGGACGGCCGAATTGTAGTACTAAGAACTAAGTAAGCAACTACTCTTAATAAACATGGCCAAAGTAGTTTTAAGTTATATAGTTAAATTATATTTTAATGTGTGTGTAACCCTGGATATATTTTGTGTGTGCTATCCCTGGTTTGTAAAAGTATCAATGTGTTTTGCATCCCTAAAAAAAGACGCACGAAGAAGAGAGCAAGGCATTCGAAAAAGCGTAGCCGGTGCGATCGAACGAAAAAGCTGAATAAAAGATAATTAAATTAAAGCAGAACAAAGAACACTATAATATGATACTTTAATTTAATTTTCATCTTAACCATACCCAATAGTTTAAAGTTCATGTAACAATAGCATTGTAGTGTGCATACAGAGTACACATTGTACCATCGGCAACATTGTTAGCCAAATCTGCAGGATCAGCACTCTTCAAGTGCAAACGTAATTTGATCACACACGCCATCAGCGAGTGATAAGTCCAACCAGCTTATTCCCACAGTTGGCAACTGCAACAATTATTTCCATGTATGCACATAACATTTCTTCTTTCTCTCTTTCTCTGTGCGAGAGCGCTCGGAGGTAAACATCAGCGGCGTTACCCGCTTGACCGACAGCGCCGATTGCGCAGCAAACAAAACTAAGCTAAGCTAGGAACAGAGGCCGACGCACTCGACAAATGACAGCGAAACGACAAATTGAATGAAGAACTAATTTTAATAAAATATAAACAGCGCATTATAAAATATTTTTGGTGTGAACATGACGACTGTGACCGAGAGACAACTCCCGAAGAACTCTGCAAAATAGATGCCGCCGGCCAACATCGCTTAAGAAGATGACTGCGAATTGATTTAAATATTTTCGGCTGAGCCACAAAATATCTATACATCTCCGAAGAACGGCACAGGATGGAACGGTATGAAAAATATCTGAGTGAGTAACGATATCGTAGGTAAAATAGTCTCAAATATTCTGCATGCAGATGGTGTGAAAACGTGACCGATCGTGGGTTTTCTTTTATGATGGGTCAAAATTGACACACATATGGACACAGGCATACGTGGTCCTGTGTTGATTTAGGTAGGCCGATATCACTATTTAACCCATAAATATTAATCCAGCTGCAAACAATTGTCTTTTTGGCGAAAATCGTACATTCTCCCGGCCGTTGAACGGATTGTTCAAAAGTCATTAATGTTGATGGTTGAGTTGTTCTTGTTGAAGTGGTAGAGGAGACAGGACTTGCAGTCAAATAGCCGGAGCCTTGTAGTTCTATGTTAGATGTCCCATTATTTTACAGGATGAATCCGTTTTATAATGAAATAATTTCATCTCACAACTAATTTGTGATGAAAACATTTTTTGCTTTTGCCTTTTAGCTCTTTCTTGACATAACGTTAAGTCTGCTTCAGACATTTCAACAAATTCATCACTATGACCAGAAATGGAATTGGAGTCAATTTGTAGATGTCCAGAACTTGCAATGATATTAAAGGAAAATTTATTATTTATTATTTCTGCTTGTACCCGTTGAAGATTTGATGCCAGAATAGAAAGTTGAGTTGACAGTGCTATATACCATGAATGTTTATTAAATACACTTTTGGTACTTTTTGTTTCGGAGATATAGTTTTCAATCAAATTTAATCGATTTGAGTTGGGAATTTCATCATTTTATGACATTAATTGTTGAATCAATCAATGATGTCTGATTTTTTAAGAAATTTGTTATTGTCTTGGACTACTTGCTATGTTTCCAACGATATCCAGTGGTGCTCTTTGCTTACGCGATTTTGCTAGTAGGATATTTTCAGCCTGCAGATCTTCCTCTAAATGTTTGAGGTGATGATACAAACTTGTACATGCTTCTTGTTGTGGAAATGGTGTACATAAATG